TTGGAGTCCATGACTTGAGAGTTCAAATCTGGTTGCAAAACCCTGGGTAAATTACTTCTTTTCTTGAGGACTGAATCTCACATGGTTCACTGCCAATTATACCTCTATGGTGGCGTTTCTCCCTGGTGGTGTTTCTTGGAGAATGACATAGGAATGCGTCTGCTGCACTTGGCCTGGTGTGTGCTGCCCAATGATATATGACCATTGCCCTTGCTGCTGGTAGGCAACATTTTAATCCCCTTTCCTCCCATTCTCTCCAATCTGAGTTGCTTTAACAAGAAACAGGTTAGCCCCAAATCTGCATGTGTCACCCTCTGATTCCTAGCCCTGTTGTGTTTTCTGAACTTGGATTCATACCTGCCCTTGGATTCATACCTAAGCAAAGCAAGGCAGGGTGCCAGATGGTCAGGCTGCTAAAAGTGGTCTCCTTCCTCTGGGCAACCAAAAAAAAAAGAATAAAAAAAGACAGAGGTCTCTGTTGAAGAGATAAGCCCACGTGCAAGCTAAATTATTTAAGATTTAAGTAAGAAGGGAGACAAAAATAGAAGTCACTTCAACATTACCTCTTTCCAATCCATCATCCTCAGGGCTTTCCAAAAAATAAATCTGATCCTATCACGTCCCTGTCAAAAATATCCCCCCTCTGAACATCCTATGCCTCCCCCCCGCCACAACCAATCTTTTTTCAAAAATACTTATTTTCCTTATATTGGTTTAAGAATTTAAAATACTGCAAGGTCAGGCCCCTCCTTTTCTTCTTTCTAAAGAGAACTAATTATGGGTCAACTTCATAATTTAGCAGAGATTATTTCTGCTTTAGATTTATTAGCAGAGATTATTCACTTTGGGGGCTTTCTTATCTCCTTCTGTAGCCAAACACACACAGAAATAAATGCCTTGTCTCTATGCGCTGTTAACACTATAGAGAACTCTCCCACTTCCCCTGCAATAATCTAACATGGTAGCCAGGGAAAAAAGTGCCAGGGAGTTGAGTTACTTATCTTGTCCTCTCAAATATTGACTGTCCAATTTTAAGCCACAAAAACTATCTCTATATTATTTTTCATCTGACAAATTGCAAGTCATGGTTTTGATTTGACTCATTTGTATTTTGATATGTTTATTTAACATCATTCAAGAGCATTTGCTATGTGTTGGGCATTAGGCATTGGGGATACAATAGTGAATTACTCAAGATGCCGTCTTCAAAGAATTTACAGACTAGAAAGAGAGACTTGTAAACATAGTAAATCTAGTGTTTGCTGAGTCCCAGAGCCAGGGGAAGGGAAAACAGAATACTGTGGACATTTACTCAAGTGCAAAGAGTCACAAAAGCTTCTTGGAGGGTGAGCAGAAATTAGCTAGGGGAAGGGGAAAGGGAGAAGGTATCTCAGGCAGTGGGACTAGCATATAAAATGAATAGCATAATAGCTTAATTTAATTTAGTGTTATCATCTTTATAGATTAATAGTTTAGATAGAGTACCCAAATGCAGACCATGATGACATTCAAAAAGTGTCATTTAGTGACTTGAGATTTATTCAATTAAAAAGACCATGCTTTATTCTAATATGGATACCTTCCTGACTTTGGGGATGTTAAAATGTCATCTTTGTCCCAAAATGATAGTGACAGCAGATGGTAATGTGATTTTTAAGAAAAAATCTTTGGCAAAATAAAACATTTTCAACCTTGTGTTCATCCTTAAATTTCACTAGTCTATGAAATAAAGAAGTTCATTCTCCTACCCTATGTAAATGTTTATTTTTTTTTCTCTCTTTCTCTTTTTGGTTAAAAAAACAGAATACTCAAAAAATGTCCAGATTGCTCTGATTTGTTAGTCCAGAGCAAACTGTTCTAGTAACAGTTGAGCTGAGGGATGGGAATATAAATCCCCGGCCCTTGGGAATTCTAGTTAGTTGCCCAATAGTTACCTCTATAGAAAGAACTTTCTGAACTTCTAAGCACTCTTTCCAAAGACCTGACGTCTGTGCTTTTACTTGCAAACTTATTTTGAAACCCAGGTTCGTTTTCTGGATTTGCTTTGATAGAATTCCCAAATTTTGTTTGTCTGTTTTTAGTGCTTTGATTTAAATTTTTCTAGGTTTGGGAAATAAATTTGGTATTATCAAATTGCCAGATGACAATATAAGCCAGCTAATACATATGTTTGGGTGCTTCCTTAGTGCCAGAGAGAGTGCTAAATAGTCTCTGTAATTATTCTACTTAGTCCTCACAACAACCTTTAAGTTTCTGAAGGAAATAGAATGCAGAGAAGCAAGTAACTTGCCTCTTACAGCCAAGAGAGTTGGGTATGTCAAGACAGTTGACCCTTCAAATACACAGGTTCAAGCTGCGCAGGTCTACTTATAGAAGGAGTTTTTTATATACTATACTATATTACAAATGTATCTTCTCTTACGATTTTAATAACATTTTCTTTTCTCAGCATTACTTTATTATAAGAATACATTGTATAAAAATATAACATACAAAATACGTGTTAATTGACTTTATGTTATTGGTAAGGCTTCTGGTCAGCAATAGGCTATGAGTAGTTAAGTTTTGGGGGAGTCCAAAGTAATACGCGGATTTGACTGCTTGTGGTTCCTTGCTCCTAATCCCTGCGTTTTTCAAGGGTCAACTGTAGTTGAGACTGCCCTAGTTTAACCTAACAGCAAAATGAGAAAGTGCCTTTATAATTCAAAAGCTGTTGAGAAACACCAGCTTGCTTTATAGATGGGAAGAACCTGACTAAACCTCTGGAAAAATACTATTAAACATATGTATGTCCAGAATTGAAAACTGTTAGTAATTAACATTGTGCACTATCTGAAGCTTGCATTTAGCACTAATGTTTATTTCCAGTTCTTTCTCTGAGTTCTCCCTAGACTCCCCAGGTAGAAGAGTAATTTCTTAAATCCACTTGTCACTTCAAAGAATGATTTAAGGAGGGAAACATACACATATGATAAAAAACAGTGTGGGGGTGAGTTTAACTTTCTGGTAACCCTATTCAACTGATTTTAAAAAGCTTTCAGAAGGGGTCCAGCCACTGCCTGGGATGGCAGTTAAAAGTGGAGAGAACATGCCCTTGGGAAACAAGTCTGAGTTCAAATGACAGCATTTTGTTAACTTCATAAATTGTTTGAATTTCAGAGGAGTCAAATGAAGCTCAGAATTATCAAGAGTCCAAGCTGGAGACCAGGCTTGGAGGAGAAAAACCTTCATTTGATTTCTCATCTAATGCTCAAATGACTGATAACGTGAAGGAAATGAACGTAGCAGATTAAGGGTAGGTGGAGTTAGGAGGGATATCAGGAGATCATGTGCTAGGGCCATCGTGATTTTAAGAATTTACTTCTGTTTCCCTGTCTCCTTTTTGAGTAGTAAAAGAGATTTCATGTCCTCAGTGAATTACCACGACGCCTATTTTAAAGCACAGTTCTATCTGAAAAGTCCTAAAAGGAAAAAACTTACCTTATTTACCATTATTTTTGATGCACTCATCCAAAGAAAATTAAGACATTCACAAAAGTCAATGCTTTTAACAATACCATCTTTAAAGTATTTAACTTAGGTCACATTTAAGTAATTATTGCGTATGAATGAAAAAATAATCTATAAGTTGTTCTTTCAAACCCAGTTTTACGTATTTCATTTAAACAATAAAACGTTTTCTCCCTCTGCTTTATAACGTCCTACTTTTCTTCATTTCTATACCCTTGGGCTCAGTATTTTAAAAACACACACACACACAACTCAAAGGGGTGTGTTTTGCAATATTGATGACCAACAAAACTCAGGATATTTATTTCCATCTGGTAGAGTTCAACTTCTGCCTCTTGTTTGCTTTCTCCATCTGCCCCACTCACCATCTTTTTTTTTTTTCTCCTCCCTAATGGAGTTAGGGTTAACCCTCTCTTAGGCTTAATCGTTTTAGCAGGCTCAAGCCATAGTACAACTGTCATTTTTTTTTCTAGTTTTGCAAGTAGGGTTTCCAGTAAACTCAAACGTCTACGACTAATACTTTCACAAGCTTCAAATTTAATCTTTATTTTCTTCTGTTTTTATAATGAGCAGCAGAACTCTAAGGGCCCAACAGTTATTTGGACTAGAAAAAAAGAATCTCTGGTTAGCGTATACACGGTGTAAAATGCATCATGCAACCTCCCCCCCAACCCCGTACAGCTTAAACTTTACAGAATCCGCGTTACTACATTTATCTTCAGTAACAGGCTTTCCTATCAGCACTAAGTTGGATTCTGTAAGGTCTCCACTCCTCGTTTGCCTCCAGAAGTTACTAAAACAGCAACCACAAAAGGCTTACTAACCTTTTATTTATTTTGCAATTAAACTTTTACAAAGACATCCCCCACTCCTCCCCAAGGGTGGAGCAGGATCGGCTCCCTGGAGTTGGCAGCGCTTCTACTACGAGACCCCGACTCCCTGGGGTTGCAGAAAGACCCGCAAAGGTCCGCTGGCTCCACTTTCTCCGCACCCCCGCTGAGCGTCCCCGCACCTTTGGCACGGGGACCCGAACCGCGCAGTCCCGCACACGCCTCCAGCTTGGTGATCCAGCCTCTTAGACCGGAGCGGGGACGGGATCCGCGCGCGCGGACAGTCTGAGCAAGGCAGCTTTTAGTGCCCAGCACTGAGCCTCCCCGCGAGCAAGCCAAGGCAGCGCACTTTCTCAGAGGATGCCCTGGCTCTGGGCCCGGAGTTGCGGAAGCGGGAAGGAGGAGCTAGGGCTGGGGGCGGGGCTTTCACACGCGCACCCTCGCTCGGCTCGGTCCCCTGGCCACAGCCCGCCGGTCTCCGGCCGCCGCTCGGGAGTTTATTTGTTTACAAGCGGATTACGTCAGCTCCTCCCTCTCTTCCCGGTCTCTGCATCCGCCCCCTGCTCCTTTTTCCCGCCCCCCTCCGGCTCCGAATCTGTTGCGTCACAATGGTGCGATCTCCGGATTGGCTGTAGTCGGCCGTCATACTCCAGCTACGCCACTTCCTTTCCGCGGCGCTATAAAAGCTACTGCACGGAGCCTGCATCTCTTCGCCCCTCCGAGCTGGAAATGCAACTGTTGGGAGCTTCGGAGGCTGGGGAGCTGGGCGCGGAGGCGGCTGGGGAAGTCCGAGCGATGTGACCAGGCCGCCGTCGCTCGTCTCTTCCTCTCGCCTGCCGCTTCCTGTCGTGAAAATAACTTTTTTACTATAAAGGAGAAAAAAAAGTAGCTGTCCGCCCCTCCCGCCCTCTCTTCCTCTCAGCCCTCTGACCTGCGAGGGAGCCCGGGGTGGCCGCTCTCCGTCGGGGCCGCGCCGCCGAGCCCCGGCCGCCCCGGGCCGCCCCCGCCCGCCGCCCCCATGCATCCCTTCTACACCCGGGCCGCCACCATGATAGGCGAGATCGCCGCTGCCGTGTCCTTCATCTCCAAGTTCCTCCGCACCAAGGGGCTCACGAGCGAGCGACAGCTGCAGACCTTCAGCCAGAGCCTGCAGGAGCTGCTGGCAGGTGAGCCGGCCGCGGCGGGAATGCGAGGGGCGACGGGCGGACGCGGACCGCACACCCCGAGCGGGAGGCGGGCCGAGCCGTCGGGGCCGCGGGAGCCGCGGCTCTGCCCCGGGCGGGCAGCGCTCGGGTCCCGCCGCGGGACCAGGGCTGGCGCGCTAGGTGGCAGCTAACGGCGGGTCCCGGCGAGGGTTTGGGGGCTGGGCCGAGGGCGCCCCCTCCCCCTACGGCTGGCCCACCGAGGAGAGAAGGAAACAGGCGCACAACAAAGAAACTGCAGCCACTGAGGCGGGAGCCGCTGTCCTCGGACCGTCCGCGGATTTGGGGACAAAGGAACTGCGGGGCTGGGGTTGGTTCGACGCCCCCTCCCCCAACCCCCTCCAACCGTTGTGGGCTCGGCGGCCCGGCCCGGGGGTGGAAAACCGCGCCGCTGCCCCGGGGCCAGCCCGGGACGGACGTGCCGTCTCCCCGCGCCTGCTACCCCTGATCATTAATCATCGCATTTGTCACCGGTTCATTTACGGCCCTGCCCAGACCGTGGTTTAGGGTTGCTTGTTTTTCTTCCCTTCGGGGTTAACAGTCCGGTGGCGCTTCTCCTCCAAAGCCATAAACCCCATTGTGTGCGGCTGGGGTGGGGTGGAGAAAGTAAACAGGTTCCAGCCTGGCCGCTGGTGCCATCCGGCTGCCCGGCCAGCCGAGGCCGCGCGCCCGATTCCTGTTTTGGCGGCTCGACCGGTTGGTTCCTGGAGATTGTTTTGTCCCATGCTACTGTGTTATTTCTAAAGCCCTGCCCGCTCTTTCCCCAGCCCCGCACACGCACAGCAGCGAGAGCGATGCTGGGCATTTTTAAAAGTTGATAGTTTAAATTTTTCACTTCTCAAAGGAGCCAGCGGAAGAAGGAAGCTACAGCAGGATCTAACAGTAACGATCTAAAGCATTGTTTCTCTGTTCTTTTTTTTTTTTTTTCCCCTATAGAACATTATAAGCATCACTGGTTCCCAGAAAAGCCGTGCAAGGGATCAGGTTACCGTTGTATTCGCATCAACCATAAAATGGATCCTCTGATTGGACAGGCAGCACAGCGGATTGGACTGAGCAGTCAGGAGCTGTTCAGGCTTCTCCCAAGTGAACTCACACTCTGGGTTGACCCCTACGAAGTGTCCTACAGAATCGGAGAGGATGGCTCCATCTGCGTGCTGTATGAAGCCTCACCAGCAGGAGGTAGCACTCAAAACAGCACCAACGTGCAAATGGTAGACAGCAGAATCAGCTGTAAGGAGGAACTTCTCTTGGGCAGAACCAGCCCTTCCAAGAACTACAATATGATGACTGTATCAGGTTAAGATATAGTCTATGGATGGATCATCTTATAATGGATGGATAAATTTGATTTTTGCTTTGGGTGGGCTCCTCTTGGGGATGGATTATGGAATTTAAACCATGTCACAGCTGTGAAGATCTGGCACAAGATAGAATGGTAAAAAAAAATTTTTTTTAAAGTGACAGTGCCATAGTTTGGACAGTACCTTTCAATGATTTAATAGCCTGTGAGTCCGAGTAAATGATCACTTTATTTGCTAGGGAGTGAAGTCCTAGGGTGGTTTCAGTGTCTCCCAGATGTTATACCTAAATTTTTTCCATCAACCCCTTTAAGGCAAATCTGTATTTCAAAGAACCTTTCTCTGCAGTAGATCTTGCAGAGGAAATTTGCACTATTACACTTGAAAATTGTTAACTTTTTTGGCAGCTCAGTAGGAAAGCTCAACATTTTAAACATGGTAGTACTGGAAATTTTGACAAGACTTTTACCTAGCACTTAAATATGTATAAATGTACATAAGACAAAACCTAGTAAGCATGACCTGGGGAAATGGTCAGACCTTGTATTGTGTTTTTGGCCTTGAGAGTAGCAAGTGACCAGAATCTGCCATGGCAACAGGCTTTAAAAAAGACCCTTAAAAAGACACTGTCTCAACTGTGGTGTTAGCACCAGCCAGCTCTCTGTACATTTGCTAGCTTGTAGTTTTCTAAGACTGAGTAAACTTCTTATTTTTAGAAAGTGGAGGTCTGGTTTGTAACTTTCCTTGTACTTAATTGGGTAAAAGTCTTTTCCACAAACCACCATCTATTTTGTGAACTTTGTTAGTCATCTTTTATTTGGTAAATTATGAACTGGTGTAAATTTGTACAGTTCATGTATATTGATTGTGGCAAAGTTGTACAGATTTCTATATTTTGGATGAGAAATTTTTCTTCTCTCTATAATAAATTGTTTCTTATCTTGGCATTTTAATCAATCTCTTGTCATGATTATAGAGGTTCAGCTATAAAAGATACGTTTCTCAGAAGACAGGTTCTATAAGCTATGTGAATGTCAGTTGCACACTGGTCATGCTGAAAAACATTTGCTAGGAGTGAAGATGATCTGTGTATACATATTTAGGTGTTAGAGGAAACACAGGGTAACTTTTTTTTTTTTTTAATCTCTAAAGTCAAAACATGGACACATTCCCAGGCTAATCTCATGAATGAGGATAAAAGACAAAGGTAACATCTACCAAACAAAGTGATACTCAGAATTTGCATGTCATTGCTTCCCTGTTGAAGTGAAGATCTAAATGGTCCATTCTGGCCCACCTTTGAGAAACAATTACTTTGCCCCATGGAATTCTTGTTCAATTAGAAAATCCTGGGGTAGATGACCCATAGTCTTAACAGACTAATCACTGCAGGGACTGGTTGCTTTTTGCTTTTCATCAGCTGCAAGATTTACATAAAAATCCCTTAAGCTGGAATTCAACAAAAGGTATGTTTATGAATTTTTATTCTCAAAAGTTGAAATGTAAGTTTTTGATTCCTCATTTTCAGATTTCTGTTTCAGATAAATTCTAAGAACCTATATGAAACATTGAGTACTGGAGTGTAGATCACTACTGCATATGATAAAAACTTGGTAATTCTTTGGTTGTAGAGGAGAACATGGTTCTTCAGTGGAAATTGAAAGTGGGGAATTTTCAGTTTTTCTCTACACGGTTAAGTGACTTATAGAGTGGTTTTTTTGGGAGCTATTTATGTAAACATGTACACTCTGGGAATATTTCACAATTTAGGTTACTTGAAATCAGTAGAGCCAAATTTGGGGATTTATTAATGACTGATTTTGTAGACTACACAGAAATACACAGCTGAATACGCAGGTATTTAGAATACAGGCTATGTGTGTGTACTTTACAGGCCATTCTTGGGCATTTGCATTATAACCACAGCACATGGAACCCCCTTGCCAATTATTATGGTTTTATTTTTCAGTGTGTTCTTTGAGAAAGTCTCCCAGGTTTTCAAGATTTGAATGTGCAATAAAACAACTGGTAGTAGAGTCTTTACCCCGGTCTCATCCCAGTTCTGATGACTGTTTGCCAACTGCATCTCATCTGGTAACTCCTTTGAAGCCAGGTGATGGATAAAGTTCTGCATACTAAATTATTGGAATCAAAGGCGAAGTATCCAGAGAGTTGAGGAATATATTCTAGTACCTAAAACTTGTGTCATAGAACCTATTCTCAGATGGAAAATAAGTTTTGAAGATTTTAACATCTGACTTTTAGATGCTTAAAAAGAAATGCGGTAGGAAGAACACTTAATAAACATTTCATTTTAGAGTTTAGGTGAGGTCTGGCATGTAAGGAGCTGTTAAGTTCCTCTTTAAAAAGGCTTGCAAGCATCCTTGAGACCTAGCATCCGGCTGTTTGCTGTGACTTTAACCTTATATTCCCCAGACAATTGTCTACGGTACAGTAGCTGTTTGTTTGAGATGTCTCATTCATTGCTTCTGGGGAGTGTTTTGCCTAGCTATTTTGATGGAAACATTTGTGTGTCTGCTGTATGCACACGCAGGTGTGTCCCAGACCTGCACATGTCATCATTTCTGTGTGCTTTTAAGAAATGCAATAGTGATAATTGAAAAGGCTTTTATATACTGCCTGAGCGAAAAGATAGTTTCTCAGAAATCCTTTCAAGAAGGAATGACTGCTTTCAAAATCATTAATTGCAATTGGCACCAAGAGTTCATAATTATTGGCAATATCTTTAGGAATGTTACTTTCTGAATTTTAATGGGTAGTTTTAAAATTACTTCCTTTTCTCCAAATGTAAGTACTGTCTTGCTCCATAATGCTGAAGCAAGGCTTACCCTAGTTCATGCAGGATAATGTGGTTGTCTTCCTCTTCACTCTGGCATGGGAGTCCCTTGTCTGTCCGTACCCTTCATTGACAATATTTCTACATTAATAGACTGGAAAGGCCACTAGAAAATTGCTTTCTGGTACAGATGCACAAATGATTTCCTCAAGTCACTGTTACCAGTTGTAAGGAATTTTGTTTTGTCTAGGGATTACAGATCTTGGAACTGGCCTTCATGTTAAAAGGAAGCAGTATTCCTCACTATTCTGGTGTTTAATAACTAAAGGTTAAAACAGTATACTGTATATTAAAGTTCAAAGATCATTCCTCTCCCCTTTGCACACCTGTTTCAGCTAATGTGATAAGATGTTATTGATAAGCTGTGGGGAGAATTTATCAATAGTTTTGTTTCAGATTGTGTGAAACAGTAGATTTCTTCGTTATCTGAAGCCGTAGGGACTGCCAATTGTTCAGTCCCATTTCAGTCTGCACCTGAACTTTTGTACATGGCTTCTGCTAAAATATGGTAATCCTTTATTTTTCATATTTGGAACATAACAGTATGAAAAATGTTTGCAGTAAAATAGTTTGTACTACTAACCGAACTAAGCTGCTTAACTGAGTCCTGAAGTCATTTATATTAATGCAGATAGGCCAGAGGAATTTATATGTGACGAGTTATAGTTTCTGGCTATTTCTATAATCTTGAGATATATATATATATATATTTTTTTTTTTTTTTCCCTGAGAAAAGCATAAGATGAAACATTAAACAAGATGTTACATTACGTTGTAGTTTTAAGGTGCTCCTAAGCAAGTAAGCCTTAGATTGTATCACTAGTGAGGACTGACACCATTTCCTCAACAATTAATTTGTGGACCAGTCTTTTGCCTGCAGTTTTACCTTAGCTTAACGCATTTCTTTTGGTATTGTTCAATGTGTCAAATGATAGAAAAATGATAAGACTTCCCATTTAATTTCCAGTTAAGGATTTTCAATTTTTGTAAGTGTTTTCTGTCATTTCACAGTTGAATAATCTCACAAAGAATATTTTGGAGTTCAACTTCTGACTTTTATAGGAGCCTTTTCATGATAATTTATCATTTTAATGTTGATGAATATCGAGAGGTTTGTGCAGCAGAGTCATTTGGCAGAGAGTTTGGGAAAAGAAATACTATTGTAAGGATTCTGTAATTCATGAATCTGGGACAAAGTCTGCACTCAGTTTGTGAACATGCAGGTCAAAGTGGTAGTAAGGTTTATGGCCCATGCTAAGTGGAAACTGGGCTTGGGGGAGGAATGGATGGGAAGCAAAAAGAGCTCCTAAAGGCATTTTTAAAGAAATTCAAATACAATGCTTAATGTCTTTGTCTATGTATTTTATAAAGGGAAAATATTTTTTAAGCTGTTATAAACTACTTGATTATTAGCCTCTTTCCTTGTACCTTTAAGTTGTGAAGGCCATTTGTGACCCGACTCCTGAACACAGAAGGGTGATTAAGTGTTGGCCAGACTCCTAACATCACGATAGAGACCACCAGGCAGGAAACAACAGTGGAGTTTACTGCATTCCTGTATTTGGAGACTATGACATCAAACTAATTATTGTTTCAAATCCTAACAGAAGACATGGTCATCTCTGGGTACATTTAGTTTTAATAATTCTCTAGATAGATGATCTCCAAAGTACCTTTATGTCATTCTCTTAAAGTATTTTTGCATGTGTGTGTGTGTGTGTACAAGCACATGGTATATTTTATAAACAAATACACATAGATTGGGGATGTATTCTGTTGATAGGGGTGCACTGATCAAAAATGTTTAGAGAGTGTTTTTCTAGATCATCACTAAAGCAGATGAGTGCTCTCTTAATAACTCGTGATTATTACGTTAAGTGATAAGTCTTCAAATAAGAAGCCGTTGTAGCATTTCAAAGAGGGTTATCTTGTCTAATTTTTGCTTATCTGCTTAGGTACTTATTTGTAAAATTAGGAACTCTTTTACAGCCAACAGAAACCCCAAGTTAAGTGTCCTATCAATTCAAAGTCTGTGTGTTCCTATATATTAAACTAGGTACTGCTGTTGTGTCAGAATCCACATTTTATGTTTTTAGAAATTTTCTTTTTAAATGTTAGGGCTCTTGTAACATTTCCTTTATTTGCATGCATGGTGGTAAAAGAACAGAGTTAACATAGTTGCCCATCAGTGATTAAATTAGCTTTAGCAGTTATGGGTTAGCCAGAAGTCTCTTGTATCTTTTCTCTCTGGTTCTGAGCAATCTCTAAATTTGTAGGAAGGAAAGATGACTGCAAATTGGACTTCATCTGAGAAGATTCTATAAGTGGGCATAAACCTAAGATGACAAGGTTTGACAATTGCGCTATAAACAGGATTGGATGCATCTTCCAGTCTTGATTTATGGCAGTGTTGTCCCCTTGAGTCAACAGACTAAATGGAATTGTATTTCCTATAAATTACACTTGTGAGCCCTCAAGTTACCAACATACATTTCTCATTTGACCTCCCAACAACTGGGTGAGGTTGGCAGATAGGTAGGTCAGTATTTTTTAATCTTCATGTTGTAGATGGAAAGCTGAGGCTTAGGGAGTTTAAATAATTTGCCCCAGAGTCAAAGGGCTAGTAAATAGCTCATTCATAATTTGAACTTGGGCCCTTTTGACCCCAGAACCCGAGCTCTTAACTATTGGTGTATTGAGAAGTATGATTTATTCACGGTGTTTCACAGTGTTTGGAACATGCAGGTTTTAATTTCTCCTTGCTAGCTAGCCATCTTTGGTCATTTTTAGCCTTGAAGCCCTGTTGCTGTCCATGCTCACAAGGCATAGAACTATCTTAAAAGGAAGCTTCTTTCTTCAGGAGGAATTTGGGACCTAGTATAAAGAACACTAGTCTTGGACTCTGAAGAATGAGCTGGAATGCAGGCCTGTACCAGCTACCAGTGTGGGACTTTGGACAATTTGCTTTGCCTGAGCCCACCACTCCATATGTAAAATGGGATACAAATAAGTCCGTTAAACATGAAAACATCTAGCAAAGAATGGTTGGATTCTTGGAAGTTGAATAGTCTATCTCATGGAGGCAAATTAAGCAGATTGTTTTCTTGCTTTCTTGAAAATTTGGCGTCACTGAGATTGTTTAGTTTCTTGGAAGTCCGCTTTAGCCAACAGCTGTAAGAAATGTACTTGTGTTTTTGAAATACCATGGGAAGGAAAATGGACCCCTTTTTAAAAGGGGAACTACAGACAACCCAGGCATGTCCATTTATTTTGCAGACTTTCCTGAGCTGGGCCCTTAACAGTGCTTTTCAGTATGGGCTGTTTTCTCAGTAAAGGGCACAAAAGAAGGCATCCCTTCAGCCCTTCCGTCTGTATTGAACACCTTACAGTTGAGAGATGGAACCACCAAGTGTGTGTAGCCAGGCAGCTCCGTGCGGTGCACGTCTGTGTGCTTTATCTGGTTTAATCCTCGCGTCTGTTTGCTGTATAAAGTTGACTTTTCCCAGGGTTTGCAGTCCTTCAAGCCATTGGTATTTGGCCATGCTTTTGTTTCAAACAGTGGTTTTCAAACAGAACTCAGTGGTTCTCAATCTCTTCTTAATCTAGAGTGGTGTGAGTACTTCCTTTACTGCAACGAAAAGCAGCCTCTTAAGTTATCAGTCTGGGTTTGAATTTCTTGGGGTGTAAGCTGATGCAACATTTGCTTGAATCATTAATAATGTAATTGACTTCTTGTAGTTATAAATGAATCAGCTACCACGTGTTCTTTTTAGTTTAAACTCAAGTCCCTTTTTCTATGTGAACATACCTTCATTGAATCGCCTGATGCTGGGTTGTATAGCATTACGGCAGACCTCAATGAAGTAGGTACTCAGCCAGCAGAGCTTCATGCGAATTTATGTTGCAATAGTATGGGAAACAAAGGGCCCCATTCTTAACTTCAGGAGACTTATAGGCAAAATTCCTCTGACCCTTTCATAAGTCTTGCATCTAAATTCCCTGTGTGGTTCAGGCCTGCTTGGAGTTGTGCATAGCCTTATAAATTAGTCAATGTGTTCCTATAATGTTTAAGATTGTGATGGAAGAATAGTAAGAGTTTGGAACTAATTAAAACAAGGTTAAGGTGGCCAGTCTGTGTTGTCAGAACAGTTATCCCTTGAGACAGTAGTTATGGTTATAGAGTTAGAGATGGAGCCTTAGGTAATACTAAAGCCTTAGACACAAGCTGTCTTCTCCTAACTCCCAGATTATTGCA